GATTTAATAATTAAAACTACAGAAGTAAATGACATGATTGAGGATGGGAAATGAGGTATTTATGGGAGCACACATCTGAGAAGGCTTTAAATTCTCTGCGGCAAGTCTGCAGATGGAGTTTATTAGAGCGCTCCATAAATTCCTGCATCCTTTAAGGGCAGGCATTCTAGGCATGAGGTGGTGTGAACAGGGAATGGGAGATCAAACCGCGGTGGCATGCTGGGCCACAGACCCGTCCTTCAAAGCCAAAGCTACACTGAGGGTTTTAGCCTCCATCATGCTGCTCTCAACACAGAGAAGCCAGAAGGCCACCACTCGTCTTCCACATGTGCTTCATTCCCCATTTCACTCTTGAAACTCATAACTTTGCTTCTAGATTTTATTTTTAGAAGATCGTGCTTCACGTTGTGTTATTTGGCCTTCTGTTAACGTGTGAAAAGAACATGCCACTTGTCCATTTTCATGTACTTTTTCACATCTTTATTTTCATGACCCTTGAGTTTTATCTCTCATCTTGTCATCCGTATGCCACAGGTAAGTGAGAAAATTCAGTAGTTGTCCTATTTGTCTTCCTCCCCCTACTTAATTCACTCAATTTGATCCCCTCCCTTTCCCTCTGATTGCGTCGAACTGCGTGATTTAATCTTTGATTTAATCTTTTTATGGTTACATGGAATACCACCGAAAATATGTACCATAGTTTCTTCCCCCACCCCCACTTTATTTAAACACCAAGATTTACAAAGTTGTAAAAGAATTTCACTGATAAAATTAAGAAGGGTTGGTCTGTGTTGCTGTCCTTTTTCCTATTAAATAATGTTAAATTATTTGATCGCACTCAGACTAAAACATTTACATTATTAAAAATAAATAATTCGAGATAAATTATTTCTATGAAAACCAAAGTGCTCTTAATTCTGTATAGGGCCATACATGTAATTAGTTTTTTTAAAGGCTACAGAAATGAAAGTGCTGATTGACCTGAGTGATTTCTTGGTAGTTTATAAAGACTAATATTTTCATCACTATCTATCCTTATATTCTCTATAATAAAAGTACCTAGTGTGTTGAGTTTATGCAACTTTTGTCTTGCTAGGTTTATAATAAAATCATAAATTTTATCTTTACCATTAGCTTTTGTATCTTTTATCTTTAGCTTCTCAATTTTATCAGTGAAATTCTTTCATTTGTAAATATATTAGTTCAGTTCATTGATTTGATCACAATATTGGAACTGCTTTGGAGCCAGTGTACATATTAGTTAGAACCGTGGGTCCTTTGGATGGCTTCTTTGGTTGGGACCTGACTATTTATTAGCTATATGAACTTAGCTGTGGTTCTTAGTTTCTCTAAATTCAAATATCTCCATCTGTAAAATGGATAAAATCAGGATCTTCATAACTGAATAAAATGGAATGATCTCTGTAAAGTGTATAAGCACGGAGGTTTTATATCTTAGTGCTAAAATATAATGATTAGGCTCTATAATAAGGTTTTTTTTGGTCGGATTTAATCATGGCACAAGAGAAAACTGTACAATTTTACATGTTAATTTTATGGTGGAATTTGGGATAACTTTTAAAACCACTCACACCCACTATTTTATGTGATATTTTGATCATAAAATAGTAGGTTCTTTTCATAGTTTTGTAGAATTGAACTGGCTTCATTGTGTTTTACTTCTTATAATTTCATAGTAACAAGGCTAGTTCAGTCTACAGCAAAATATCCCTTACATGGCTTTCTTTATTATATGATGCAATTATGCCAAGAAGCGAATTCAGAATGATTCTCTCTAAATATTTAGAAGTCAAATCAGAGTTAATGACCAGGTAGAGAAAAGTCATGAAAATAGAACTGATACGCGGTATTCTCCAAGGGATAATTCTAAAGTAAACTGTAAATGATGCAGTATCTTGTGCATCACTTGACAACCTCTGCCTATTCTCAGATTTCACTTAGAACACATTATAAATTTATATTTTGACCACAGTATGTCCTTAAATACTGAAGGCAAACCCTATTGTGGGGATTTCATTTTAACCACAGAGAAATGGTTTCAAGTCCAAAGCCACAGGACCAAGAGAGTCGTAGATCCGGGAATAGAACTGAGAAGGCTTTGATTCCTCCTCAGAGGCCGAAACCACAAGGTTCTGTTGCTTCTGAATGTAATGAATGACACATCAGCTAGATCCACCAGTGCACGAGACAGGGGGAATAATCTGTTTGAGAGCGCTGTGTAAAATTCATGCAGCCTTTCTAAAGGCCTTCTCAGAAACCAGAGAAGTGGTCTGTGATTACTAATTAAAAGGTTGCAAGAACTAGATAGTTCTCAGCTGGTAATTGTGTCTGGATGATCAGTTGTTCCCACAAAGTTTGCTTAAGAGACTTCACAATTTAACATTGCAGTTTAAAAGTGAAAAATAAACATCGTAGCTTGTTCATAATGCATTACAGGCATTTCGTGTTCCAACACCAATCCCACCACCAGACTGACCTTCCTTCCACCGTGGTCCGCATTTCCCAACCACTCTCCAAACTGCCCCCTTAGCATACACAAAAGAAGTAATTTTATATTGCTTCTTTCAGCTAAATGGCTAATGAAATTTCAGAAATACTTCAGGGAAAGAAAATTTGTGAAAATTGTCACATATTACCATGGGGTTACTAAGTACTTGTCTGAGGGTTTACTAAGCTATTTGCTGCTAGTTGAGCCTTCTGTGTTATTCTTTTTCCTTTTCTTTTTTTAAATTTTACTTGGGGTTGGAGCGATAGCCACAGAGGAGAGGTTTGATTCCTCGGCCCCTCTCTTAGAACCCGGCAAGCTACCGAGAGTATCTTGTCTACACGGCAAAGCCTGGCAAGCTCCCTGTGACGTGTTTGATATGCCAAACACAGTACCAAGTGTCACAATGGAGACGTTACTGGGCCCCACTGAGCAAATCGATGAACAACGGGAAGACAGTGATGGTGACAGTGACAGAAGTTTTACTTGAGCTTAGTTGGCTTTATTCCTTTCCCATCGAATTTGGGGTGCTTGGTTATCGTGTGGATATGGCCGATGGTGTGCTCCTACTGGGATGTGGTATTGTGGAATTTGCACGTGTCCTGCTCCAGGACTCCAAGATCTCTAAAACCTGGCCAATGAGTTTACAGTGGCTGTGGGGTGTGGTCATGGCTTCTGAGGCCCTAGGAAGTCCAGTGGGGGAGAAGGAGTGGGCTGCTCACCCACGCTCCAAGAAGACCCCAGAGTTCTCAGTCTGAAAACCAGCGTGCCTGGAATTTTTGCCAGCTTGATGTCTCTGAGGAGATTGGTTGTGAAATAGTGGAGTTGGGCCACTGATGGAGCAACAGCTACGGGATGTGGATGTGGCTTTGGTAGAACAGGGTGCCCCTTCCCGAGAGTGCCCCAGAGTTTTTAGCTGGGAGACCAGTTGCCCGCGAAGTTTAGCAGCTTGGCATGCATCTCCCGAGAGATTTAGTGGTGAATCTGTAAAGCCGGGTGGATGGAATTTGTATGTCGGCGGCTGTGGCATGTGTTGTTATGACTTTTTAAGTCCCGTTGCCGTGGATGAGTAGGTGGATGAAGGATCATATTCAGAGTAAACGATCGGACCAGTCAGCTAACTGATTAAAATATAAATATACACCCTGTGTATTTCAAAACTCAAAGGTTTTTCATGTTTGGTTATTATTGGAATCTTAGACTAGGATTTTAGTGTTATCCAACATAAAATTTTTATTTATATACAAGTACCACTTATCGTCAAATAGCGCTTCATTAATTTATTGAATATTTTGATTTCCCTGTTTTCACCATAGTAATTTTACTACCTCCATTTCTTCTGTGATATATCTAGAATTTTAAATAATAATTATTTACTAAAACTCAGTCGGTTTTTACCTCAATCTATTGCTCAAGTGTCTCTCTGTCATTGTGGCACCTGTATGCCCTCTTTGTACCCCTGTGTAATTAATTCTCTTTTCATTCACTTAAAAATATTTCAGTTTTTATAGACCAAACATGATTGCCACTCAATGTTTCTTTTGCAAACCACAACACCCAAAAGGAGAGAGAGAACAGAAGGGAATGCCCTGCCACAAAGGCAGGGTGGGATGGGGGGGGTGGGGGGGTGGGAGGGATACTGGGATCCGTGGTGGTGGGAAATGGGCACTGGTGGAGGGATGGGTATTTGATCATTGTGTAATTGAAACCCAAGCACAAAAATGTGTAAGTCTGCAACTGTACCTCATGATGTCTCACTATTAAAATTTTTTTTAATAAAAAAAATATTTTAGTTTATAAGTAAAGTAAAGTAAAGGCCCTCCCGTTGATCATCGATTTGCTCGAGCGGGCCCAGTAACGTCTCCGTTAGAGACTTTGTTGTTACTGTGTTTGGCATATCGAATACTCTCGGTAGCTTGCCGGGCTCTCCGAGAGGGGCAGAGGAATCGAACTCGGGTCGGCCATGTTGGCTGTGTGCAAGGCAAACGCCCTACCGCTATGCTATCACTCCAGCCCCATAAAAGTAAAGTAAAGGCCCTCCCGTTGATCGTCGATTTGCTCGAGCGGGCCCAGTAATGTCTCCATTGGAGACTTTGTTGTTACTGTGTCTGGCATATCGAATATGTCACGGGGAGCTTGCCAGGCTCTGCCGTGCGGGCGAGACACTCTCGGTAGCTTGCCGGGCTCTCCGAGAGGGGCGGAGGAGTTGAACTCGGGTCGGCCATGTTGGCTGCGTGCAAGGCAAATGCCCTATCCGCTGTGCTATCGATAGTTTATACTGAATCTTAAATTCTTTGAAGGTAGGAGCCATATTTTGGTCATCTTTTCATTATTTCATAGTGCCTTTTTCTATTGTGAACTGCAATAAGTATTTACTGAATTACATATTTAAGTGACAGGAGCTATAAAATAAAATAATTTTTGTAGACAAATTAAATTTAAAATCTTATTTTATAAATCCTAATGTAAATGTGAATTTATTTTCATTCCATAGGTATGGCATGAACTGCCTGATTCAGTTTGAAGATTTTGCCAATAGAAATGCATTTCGTCTGCTGAACAAGTATCAAAACCGGTATTGCACATTTAATGATGATATTCAAGGTAATAAAATGCAATTAGATAAAATAATCTGATGTTATATTCATAGTTATATTAATAGTTGTATAATGATTTAGTAAAGTAAACACATAGTCATCAATTATACTTGATCTACATATTATTACTCATTATTTGATTTCATAAATTTTTGACAGGCACCCCATGATTCTTCTTCTGAATGTACATTATGAGTTTGAAGTTCGCACCCCAAAATCTGATCAATCCCCAGTGATTATAACTAGGGAACAAATGAACTGTGAGAAAATGTTATTCATAGTTTAAATCTGCATATTTATGTCCTTTCTCTTTAATTTTAACTCAGTTGCTACCGTTTCTGAGATCTTTTATGTACAGTGAGCTCTATTGTAGAAGTTTGTCCTAGTTAGAATATCCTAAGCAGTAGGTACTTAATATTGTTATTATCAGCTTTCTTTTTCTTTATTTGGCTTTTTTGGTTACACCTAGCGATGCTCAGGGGTTACTTTTGGCTCTGCACTCAGGATAATTTCTGGCAGTGCTCAGGGGACCTTATGGGATGCCGGGGATCGAACCCAGGTTGGCTGTGTGAAAGGCAAACACCTTCTCCACAGTGCTCTGACTCTGGTCCCATTATCAGCTTTCTTTTATTTATTTTTTATTTTTTGCTTTTTTGGGTCACACCCAGCGATGCACAGGGGTTACTCCTGGTTCATGCACTCAGGAATTACTCCTGGCCGTGCGTGGGGGACCATATGGGATGCTGGGACTCGAACCTGGGTCGGCCGCATGCAAGGCAAACGCCCTACCCGCTGTGCTATCGCTCCAGCCCCAGCTTTCTTGAGTTGACCAAGTCAGCTGTCATTTTCTCGTTTGCCTTCCAGCTTCTAAAGTTTTGCTGCTGTTCCTGCCTCTGTTTCTCTTTGACTCTCTCTTCAGCCCTGGGTTTTTGTGATCCACGTTGTGTTCCCAAATAGAAATGTAACAGATCTTTAGCAAACAATATTTATTGTGTTATTGCTTCTGGTGACCAAATTTTGCAAGAAAGAAAGAGCCACCAAAACATTGAAGAGAAAAATAATGCTTAACTTATCTTTGGTGCTTAGCACATAACCCTTCATTATTGTGTAGTTCCTCAGTCTTTTCTGATCTCTCTTGTTTTTAACCAGACGTGGATGTTGGTGTTTACAGATTAGTTAGGGTTTACGACTCATCGGAGTGATCTAGAAATCCTTTTAAGTATATTAGAGGAGTAAAATATAGATGTAGATGGAAAGTACTGGAAGAAATTGCTGAGTTTTATTTTAGTCTTGAGCTCTAGAAGAGTGGAGCTGTGTAATGAAGTTCAAAGAGAAAGAACTGCTCTGTAATCTGTATAAGTTTATATGTTGAAGTAATACAAGTAGAACTGGCAGTTTAATGAGGAAACAACGGTTTTTTATTCTAAATAAGTTTCACGGTAATTCTGTCCAGCATGTTTGGAATCAACTGGTGATCATCACAGATAGGAATCCAATCAAAGAATGTAATAGAATCAGATACTAATGACTGACTATTCATTTTTCAAGTGGAAAAATCATGATGTTAGCCTCCAAAAATATCAAAGCAGAGCCAGAGTGAGAGCACGGTGGGTGGTGCGTTTGCCTTGTTTGCATACAAAGTTCAGTCCCTGGCAGCCCAGGTGGTCCCCGAGCTTGTCAGGCTCAACTCTTGAGCGCAGAACCAGGAGTAAGTCTCGGGCACTCTCTGGTGTTGGCCACCCCTCCCCCGACCAAACCAAACCAAACAAACCCAAACAAAACACTTAAACAAACCAAGAAACACACAAACAAAACCTAAATATTTCTGCGCATTACTATGAGCACCAATATTGTCAAGTATTTTCATAGGCTCATTTTTTAAATTTATCAGCAATGGATTTTAGAGCCACATGAATCATTCATTACGGCAGAAGAATTAGATGCTGCGTAGCACTCCTTAAACTCACAGTACAGCTGTTTTATAAATGAATAGATCTGCATACTGGCATTTGGCATATTGGGCACGCCACGGGGAGTTTGCCAGACTCTGCAAACTGTGGGCAGGTCACATTTGGTGACCTGCCAGGTTGTCCAAAGTCTCTCTCATTCTCCTAATCCTGAAAGAACTTTGAATATGGCATTTTTCGAAATCTCAGGACTAGGACGAATAGACGTTCCTGCGGTCTGCTCGAGGCAATCGAAGAGCAACAGGATGATCGTGATCGTGATCGTGATCGTATACACATGAAGTCATAGCTCATGTAGTTCGCATCCTAGAGATAAAAATTCTAAGCCTGGGGCCTGGGAGAGAGATCGGGGTCAGAGTGCATGACCCTGCTTTGATCTCGGGTACCACAATGACTGGGCACCACAGCAGCCCCAGTCTCTGCTGGGGAGGCCCTTTCTTTCACCCTCCCCTCCGCACTGCCAGGCTGGCTCTGGAGGCTCCTTCCCGTGCCTCCCCTGTCCCCTCCCCCCCACCCCCTGCCTCAGCACCCACATGGCTCTAGAAGCAGTGCCTCCTTTGGCCTCTCACCGGACTGTAAGCTCGGCTGGCAAAGTACCATCAGCCATGGCCCCTGGACTCCCAGTACACCACGAGTGAGCCCCCGACACCCCTTCCCACAACTCAGTGAGATTCTCCCTCCTCTTCGGCGCTCTGTGTCACCAGGTTAAGCCAAGGAGTACTTGGGGGGAAAGATTTCAATGACAGAGTCCCATGGCTACGCGAGAATGCTCTTAAGAATGGTTCCAGGAGCTCATCTCATAGGCAGCACTGGGATCATGGGGACTGCAGGTTCTATTTTCCGTACCAGTTACAGTGCTGCATGACGATTTCAAGATGTGAATGAATATTCGAGCATCAGAATTTGCCTGACTTGGAGGTTTGCTCAAGGTTATTTATTGCTGGTTTCAGGAACAGCGTCTGTGGCAGTTGCCGGCATCCTCGCGGCTCTCCGAATAACCAAGAACAAACTGTCTGATCAAACAATCCTGTTCCAAGGAGCTGGAGAGGTATCTCTTTTATACGATACTAATGTCCTACTAAACTCATGAAAATGGCACCCACTTGACCTACAAATTTGAGATTTCAGGTTCTGTTTGCAAAGTGTAAATTATATAAATAGTGACAAATTGAATATTGAAGCATACTCATTTTTCATAGGAGGCTTTGGTATAGAAGAGGAAATAATTGTCAGTTAGCTTAACCTAGATGTGACAGAAATATTTTGTTTCCAGTAGATTTCATGAATACAACTATTAGATTAATGGGCCTATTTTTCCCTTAATTAAATAAAAAAGACAAAACTAGGGTGAGATGTAACTCTTTAATAAGCTATCTTGTGGAATGTTTCCGGGTGGGGGGGGGATGAGGGTTGGGGAGGGATGCTGGGACCCATGGGGATGGATGACGGGCACTGGTGGAGGGATGGGCACTTGATCATTGTATAACTGAAACCCAAGCACAAAATTTGTAAGCCTATAACTGTACCTCATGGTTTTTCACTAATAAAAAAAGAAAAAAAAATAAAAAATAAATAAAATAAAATAAAAAGGAAAAAAAAATTGTTCTTATTTTTCCTTTCTCAGGCTGCCCTAGGGATTGCACACCTACTTGTTATGGCCATGGAAAAGGAAGGGTTATCCAAGGAGAAAGCCTTAAAAAAGATTTGGTTGGTCGACTCAAAAGGATTAATTGTTAAGGTAAGAATCTGTCATTTTTGACCAGTATAAAAATTCTTATGCCGTTCTGAATGCCATTGTCAAAGGCTGCTCTCCCCAACACTGTTTTAAGAATAGCCTGGGAGGTGGTTTGATTCTCAGTCCTCTAGGACCACTGGATGCAGCCCACCAAGCACCGCCATGTATGACCCTAGAGGCCCCTAGTTCTGCCAGGGTGGCCCAGGGATCAAGGCACACAAAGCCCAAGAAGCACTGCATCCCTGGCCCCGGCATCGAACCTCCAGCCTGGTTAGCTCAGGACCTGATGGAGCCCCTAGACCTGTGCAGTGCTGAAACTACCCCCACCCCTCAAAGAATATATACACAAAGGTAGCCATTAAAAACGGATGGTCTTCAACCCCATTAAAAAATGGGGCAATGAAATGAACAGAAACTTTCTCAAAGAAGAAATCCGAATGGCAAAAAAGCACATGAGAAAATGCTCTACATCATTAATCATCAGGGAGATGCAGATCAAAACCACAATGAGATATCATTTCACACCACAAAGACTGGCCCATATCCACAAGAACGAAAGCAATCGGTGTTAGTGCAGATGTGGCGAGAAAGGGACCCTCCTTCATTGCTGGTGGGAATGCCGACTGGTTCAGCCCTTTTGGAAAACAACTCTCAAAACATTAGAAATTGAGCTCCCATTTGACCCAGCAATACCACTCCTGGGAATATATCCCAGAGAGGCAAAGAAGTCTAGTCGAAGTGACATCTGTACTTGTTTGTTCATTGCAGCACTGTTTACAATAGCTAGAATATGGAAAAAACCCGAGTGCCCGAGAACAGATGACTGGTTAAAGAAACTTTGGTACATCTATACAATGGAGTACTATGTAGCTGTTAGAAAAGATGAAGTCATGAAATTTACATACAAGTGGTACTACATGGAAAGTATCATGCTAAGCGAAATGAGTCAGAAAGAGAGGGATAGACATAGAAAGATTGCATTCATTTGGTGGACATAAAGTAACAAAATAGGAGACTAGCACCCAAGAATAACCGAGATCAGTACCAGGAGGATTACTCCATGGCTTAGAGGCCAGCCGGACATTCTAGGGGAAAGGGCAGCTCAGAGAAGGGAGCACCAAGTAAAGGGTGTTGGGAGGATCCTCCCAGGAGGGAAGATGCATGTTGAAAGTAGACTATGGACCGAACATGACTTCCACTCAATGCCTCTTTTGCAAACCACAGCACCCAAAAGGAGAGAGAGAACAAAAGGGAATGCCCTGACATGGAGGCAGGGTCGGGTGGGGGAGATGGGGGGTGGGAGGGATACTGGGATCCGTGGTGGTGGAAAATGGGCACTGGTGGAGGGATGGGTACTCGATCATTGTATAACTGAAACCCAGGCACAAAAATTTGTAAGTCTACAACCGTACCTCATGGTGTTTCACTAATAAAAATATAAAAAAAAAAAATGGGTGATCGCTTCATCCAGGAACACCCATGCTGTTAAAGAAGAAAGGCAGATGGTCTTGTTATAGAGTTCATCTGCAGTATGAACAGGCAGCTTCCAAATCTCTGTGTTCGCCACTTGAATTATTTTGGTTTTCAAGTGTTGCAGTCTTACACTGTTGAAGGTAAAACTCTAGGTGTTGCCCCTTTAAAGACTGTCAGGTTGCGGAAATAGTTCAGAGGACTGAACGTGCTTTACAGGTGAGAGCCGAACGTTCAATTCCTGCGCTACATGGCCCCAGAGCACCACTGGGAGTAAGCTCCAAGCACTGAGCCAAGAGCAACACCCAAATACTACTGGGTGATCCCCAAACAATAAAACAAAGCACTCCTTCTCAAAGAATTCTGGAACGTGGCTCGATGGCTTAAAGTGCTTGTCCAGGAGACTCTGGCCCTTGAGTTCAAACCCCAGTGCCCCTCCATGGAGGAGACATTTAAGGCATTTGCCAACCCTGAATGCTGAAATCACCCCAGCCTGGTGTGACCCAGCACCTTCCCTGCACCCAAACAAAACAAAACAAATTAAAAATTAAAAATGCATTACATTAAAAAAATTGCTGTTTGGGAGAACCTGGCACATTGTAATCTAGAAAATATTTTGAATCGTTGCATTAACACAAAAGAGATTACATCCCCCTTACTTTAAGATAATTCAACCTTTAAAAATTTTGTATATTTTAGTATAAACAGACCCTCTGATTTGCATGCTTTTTTTTCTTTTTGGGGTCACACCCCGCAATGCTCAAGGGTTACTTCTGGCTCTGCACTCAGGAATTAGTCCTAGTGGTGCTCGGAGGACCATATGGGATGCTGGGGAATCGAACCCGGGTCAGCCGCATGCAGGGCAAACACCCTACCTGCTGGACTATGGCTCCAGCTCCTGTTTGCATGCTTCTTTTAGTAGAGAAACCATTCATATTGTACTAGGTTGAGTCTGGTTATTTTAGTTGTAAGTAAAATCATCTCTGAAATTTCTATGCTAAATTTGTTGTCTCATGTGGGAAGCTCGGTAATTTAATAAAAATGAATAATTGCCATATTACAGAAATCACATGCAAATTTATTTAAACTACATACAAGGAAAATATTTTAATTTATTTTTATTGACATGTCGTTGGTCAGTTGTACAGTGGTGTCAAGAATTGGAATTTTTCTCAGGCTCACCTGCTTTCAATAAGCCTTCCCAGTGAGTTACTAATTCGATTTCATGCTCTGGGCCATGCTCTTTTGCCATAGAATGTGTGGAATCTTCTTGTTTGGGGAGGCCAAGCAATTAAAAATAAGTGAAAGCAATGGCACTTTTTCTTTTTTTATTGCTAGTCTGTTAATGACTTAAAAAATCTTCAATATGTTTTCTCTCATTAACAGTACCAAAAAACGACAGACACGTGGCATTAGAATATAAATTCAGATACGTGGCATTAGAATATAAATTCAGTTTCCAGGGGAGGAGTGAGGGGTGGGAACCCAAGAGGATCATAGAGGTCATATAGGGACAGTGGTTGCGGGTCTTTGCCACTTTGGTGGTGGTGGACGGAGTGATTTTGTATTGATGCCCTAAGCTTTACAACTACCTCAACTTTGATAAATTTTACTAAAGAGGTTTATCTTACAGTATTTTCAGTAATCCCATGTGTCCCGTTTGGGTTTCTGCTTTCTCTGTCAAAATAAATCCCAGGCAGAGGTTAATTATAATATTTTCATATTATTAAAAGAAAAAACATGTTAGGATGTGTAATATACTAAAGCACGATCAGCCAAGACTAGTATAAGTGGGATTCTTCAGAATATTCAGTATATAAATGTCATATGATTTAGATATTCCTTCTGTGTATTTTTCTGAAAAATATAAACATCCTCATTAGAAAAAAAATCTGTGCGCTTCTGTGATCATTGCAGCATGATTTACTGTGGCCAAGTTACGGATATAACCTAATTGACTAGGAACAGATGAATGGAAAAAGAAGATGTAATATGGTCTACATCACATGATACTATTCAATTCTCTATATATTGTGTCCACACATATATACACAAATATGTAATATATATACATACATATATACATATTTTTAAAAGAGGAAATCTTACTGTTTGCAACTACCTGGATGAGGTGATTTGCTAATCGAATCTATCATATGAACATGAGTAATGTGATTTTATTGACGTGGAAGGTACTGACCACTAGACGATCACGGCGAGCTTCTGGGGAATCACAGTGGTAGGGTGTTTGCCTTGCATGCAGCCGGCCCGGCCGATTCCTCCGCCCCTCTCGGAGAGCGCGGCAAGCTACCGAGAGGATCTCGCCCGCACGGCAAAGCCTGGCAAGCTCCCCGTGACGTATTCGATATGCCAAACACAGTGACAACAAAAGTCTCCAATGGAGACGTTACTGGGCCTGCTCGAGCAAATCGAGGAACAACGGGAGGACTGTGACCATGGACCGTGATTGGAAGGTAGTTTTTTTTTTTTAAATCGAGACACCATGATTTGCACTACTGTTAAGTTCGTGACAGTCTCATGTGTACAAAGTTCTAACCCACCACCAGAGTGTCAACTTCTCCCCACCAGCGTTCCCCTCCCCTCTGCCTTTTCCTGTCCTCCTCTTTGATAAACTCTGTCATGTAGACAGTTACCTTTGCCCATTCCCTTATTATAACACTATAACATTATAGTATATAGCTTCACTATAACATTATTTGGTATCTGTCTCTGATCTTCCGACTGATTTCACACAACATGATACTCTCTAATTCCATCCCCAGTGACAAATTGCATGATTTCACCTTTTCTTAAAACTAAGTAGTATTCTGTTTGCATATCTACTCTCTTTTTCTTTTCCCTTCCCACCTCTCCTCTTCCCTTCAATTCCCTCCCCTTTCCATTCCCCTTTTCCTTTCCTTTCCTTTCCTTTCCTTTCCTTTCCTTTCCTTTCCTTTCCTTTCCTTCCCTTCCCTTCCCTTCCCTTTCCTTTCCTTTCCCCTTTCCTTTCCCCTTTCCTTTCCTTCTTTTCCTGTGTTTTTTTTTCTCTTTCTTTCACATTCAGTCGTGTTCAGGGCTTACTTGTTTACTCCTGGCTCTGTACTAAGGGATCACTCCTGACGGTTCTTGGGTGGTGCTGGGGATTGAACCAGGATGTTTCACGTGCAAGGCAAGGGCTTTACCTCCGTATACTCTCTCTCTCGCCCTATATTCAAGTGCTTTATCTAGTCTTCTGCTCCTGGACATCTGTTTGGCTGCCCCACCCTCACCCCAGATCTTGATCGTTGTGACTAGTGCTGCAATAAACATAGGAGCACAAACATCTTTTTGAAATAAGGTTTCAAAAACATTATTTCACCTTGTTTTATTGCATTATTTCACCTTGTTTTATTGTTTATTATTGCATCTTGGGATAGATGCAAAGATGTTGGATTGCTGGATTCTACATAAATTCCTTTTTTTTTCCTTTTGAGATCATACCTGGCGATGCACAGGGGTAACTCCTGGCTCATGCACTCAGGAATGACTCCTGGCGGTGCTCGGCGGGACCATATGGGATGCTGGGAATCGAACCTGGGTCAGCTGCATGCAAGGCAAACACCCTACCCGCTGTACTATCTCTCTAGCTCCAGTAAATGTTTTCTGATTGAATGAGTGAAATCTTTACTTGGCATTTGATGTTAGGTTAAGCTAAAATGTCTTCCCTTTATTTTTTAAATTTTTGCGGGGGGTCACACCCGGCGATGCACAGGGGTTACTCCTGGCTCATGCACTCAGGAGTTACTCCGGGCGGTGCTCAGGGGACCATATGGGATGCTGGGAATCGAACCTGGGTCAGCCGTGTGCAAGGCAAATACCCTACCCGATGTACTATCACTCTAGCCCCCAGAAATTCCATTTTAATTGAAAAATAACAAATAAAACAAAAGCCCTAATTGTAAGAGAGTCTGAGGAAACATAGTTGGGACCTGTGCCTCAAGATGAAAAGAAATTATTCTAGAAGCAATTTAGGTTTCTGAAATATTTGCCGTATAGGGACTCATACAGACATCAGTCTACTTTTTTTTTTGTATTTATATCTGCAGTTGGGTATTTACATATCTGGGGTAGAGTAACAGGCCAAAACTATGTTGTATTCAGAATGCTGGGAACTGAAATTATGATTGCTAGAAAAAGTGCTTTTCAAACCACCAGTTTTATGTAGTAAATGTCCTAGATAAACTTTGCAGTACTGTGAGAATGAAAATGAAGAATGATGAACGTTAAAATAATCATGAAATTTAACTTACAGTTTATAGTGGTTCTATAAAAAAAAGTAATTTAGATATTTAGTGTAAATGTCAAATGATTCCAAATTATTATTTGTGTTCATAGTTAGAATTTCAGTTTCTTTTTAATAATGTATAATTATTTTATTTTGCTAAATTACTGAGCAGTAATGTGGATATGAGCAAATGGATTCTAAAAGTATGCTTTTCATTAAATCATTACAGGAAAAAAGAACCTTATTGCCAAAACAACATTGAATAGAAATAAATTAATAGAAAGATAAATAATAAAAATTAAATTTTTATTAAATTTAATAAAAATTAAAACCTATATGTTTCAGCTTAAAATCAACTGCTATGTTGACAACAGTAGTCAGTTGTTACTGTTATCAAAGGCAATACAATGTGAATGGCATACAACAGAACTTTTTCTCATGTATCTTCATCAGCAAGAAAGCTCGCTGGGTAACTGAGTGATTGGCTGGGTGACTCTTCAGTTTCAGGTTGGGTCAAGGCCAGCTTCACCAGGTTTTCATCATCTGTGGGTCAGTAGCCAGCTAGGTTATGTCTTCTGAGTTAATGGCAAAGACACAAGGGACCAGGTGAAAATTCATTTCCTCCAATGGCCTGATCTTGGAAAGAGCACACTCCCAAGGGTTAGAAAGTATAATCTACTTTTTGTGAAAGAAACTGTTAAGTTACATTGCAGAGACCATTAACACAGAAATAGAATGTTGAATTGGCACCGATTGAATTTACCACTTCAACTAAATTAAAGTCAGTTTTATTTGGGTGGTGGGGTGCACATCTAAAAGTAATCAGAGTTTACTTCTGACTTTGTACTCAGGCATCACTACTGGTAGTACTTGGAGAACCATATGGGGTACTCAGGGTCTAACCTGGTTTGACCACACGCCACGCAAGCGTCCTACCTGTTGCACTATTGTTTTTGCCCCTATAATCAGTTTTGTTTATTGTTAAATTTTCATTGCCTAAAACAGTCTTTTTCAACCACTAATCATCCGACTAGCGAGTGACAACCTGCAGGTATAAAAAGAGTTGAAAATCGTTGATCTAGAATATTATCTGGGACATATTTGTAAAAAGAATGAATGATCTGACAACTGGAGAAGAAACTCCAAGAACAACTCTAACATGTAACTTGCAAAAAACCTAAATACAGATTATATATAATATTCTGATGGGTTTTTTTAGTAAAATGTTTGGCATACTTATGATTTCTTCATTTTTGCTTTACTTAGGGACGGGCTTCATTGACACACGAGAAAGAGGAATTTGCCCACGAACACAAGGAAATGAAGAACCTAGAAGATGTTGTTAAAGAATTAAAACCAACTGCCCTTATAGGTAAACTTTGTCTTCCAGCCTCCTATAACTATTACCTCAATTTATTTTGGCCTGGTTATTGTGCCTGCTACTGGCTTTTTCAGTGTAATTTTGACTTTTGGAATACTAACCTTTGGAATTCACTAACACAATTACATAGTCACTGAAGCAACAGTACCTTATAAACCCCTAGATTGATGATAATTGTTTTCTTAATTGTGCTAAACTAGGTAGCTCTTCTTCACCTGGCATATTCAGCACCTTCCCAGACTTGATTGGTGTAGTAGATTTCTCAAACAGTGATTTTAATGCCAAAGGAACATATAACAGGGGCTGGAGTGATAGAACAGCAGGTAGAGTGTTTGCCTTGCATGTGGCCGACCTGGGTTCAATTCCCAGCATCCCATATGGTCCCATGAGAACTGCCAGGAGTAATTCACCAATGCATGAGCCAGGAGTAACCCCTGTGCATCACCAGGTGTAACCCAAAAAGCAAAAAAAACAAAACAAAAGAAAACAAAAAAACCCCAGATATACAACAATATCTGAAGATGTTTTAGGTCGTTATGCTAATGGTGGTCAATAGGGACTGGGGAAGACATTGGATACACTGACACACAGTAAGTGGAGTGTATGGATGCGTCCCATGATCCTATGGTACACGGAGAAGTCTATAAACAACTTGGAATTTTCCAGCTTGGTATGTAAGTCGTGCTGAGGTTGAATAACATGGGATTAGACACGCCTGTGTCTAAAAGTTGGACATGGCAGTCTCCCGGTGGACGGTTCCACACCAAAATTGACCACATCATAATCAATTGATGGTTTTGCCTGACTGATGTTGCTGCTATTCCAAAATTCCAAATGGGATTGGACCACTGTCTTCTTCTCGCAAAATTCTACTTCACAGAGTGGGGAGAAAGAGCTGCAAAGTTTAAGAAGAGAACCCCCAAAACGACCACTAACTGGGAGCTCTTGGCTCTGTTGCGGCAACATGGGAAGATGCCGTTGTTGACAACATTGACGAGGAATACGATCGACTGGTTCAGCACCTCCATAATTGTGCGAGAAACGCCAAGAGATAGATAACCACGAAAAAATGCCTGTCCTTGAAAACTCTTGAGCTTATTCGCCAAGTGGCTTGGCGCATGCCTCAGGCAACCGCAAGAGAACATCAGAGCTCGCAAATCAGTGCAGAGAAGCGATCAAGGAAGACCTCAAAGACAGAAGAGCAGCAGTGCTGACCAATGCGGCAGAAACCGGGAATAGCATTTGCAATGCCCTCCTGTCCTTTGTCAACTACAAGACCAAGATGACTGCCCTCCGATGTCCTGATGGATCTATCACATCTTCCAGAAGGGCAATGGAGAAGATTATCCATGACTTCTACTCAGATCTCTTTAATAGCCACGTCCACTTGCCCACATTCCGCGGGATGGATATGTCGTTCCCAACGTTCTCCCTTCTAAAATTCGACACGCCATCTCGTCAGTAAAGAAACAAAGAGCACCTGGCTCAGACAAGATCAGACCTGAACACCTGAAGAACCTGCCGTCAGTACTCATCAATACACTGGCTCAGCTCTTCACATGCTACCTGTCTGAATGCAAGGTTCCATCCCAATGGAAAACCAGCAGGACTGTACTACTGTTCAAGAAGGGAGACATCCACAACATTGGCAACTATCGCCCAATCTGCCTATTGCCTGTCATCTACAAGTTGTTCACTCGAGTCATCCTGAATAGGATTGGCAGAACACTAGATGAAGGACAACCATGCGAGCAAGCCGGGTTCTGCAAAGGATTCAGCACCATCTACCATATCCACACGATAACCAAGCTCATTGAGGTTTCTCGGGAGTTCAAGATGCCGCTCTGTCTAATGTTTATTAATTTAAAGAAGGCCTTTGATTCTGTTGAGATGGAAGCGGTCATCGAAGCCCTAGCCAGTCAGGGCATTCAAGCTCAATATATCAGGATCCTCCATGAGCTCTATTATGGATTCACTACCAGGATCTCACCATTCTACAAGGAAGTTATCGTCCATGTCAAGAGAGGGATTCGGCAGGGTGATACCATTTCACCGAAACTCTTCAGTGCCACCCTCAAGAACATCATGAGACGACTGGAATGGGAAGGAATGGGAGTGAAGATAGATGGTTGACAACTACAACATCTCCTCTTTGCTGATGACATCATTCTAATAATACCAAACATCAGCCAATCGACACAAATGCTGACTGACTTCGACGGTGAGTGTGGAAAGGTCGGATTACAGCTGAATCTCACAAAGACAATGTTCATGAGAAACAGTCTTGTTCCTGATGTTCCATTCACTCTCAATGGAATGACCATCTCCGCATGTAACAGCTATGTGTACCTAGACTGAGAAGTCAACATGACGAATGACCTGGCACCTGAGTTGCGCAGGAGGAAGAGAGCAGCTTGGAACGCCTTCAAGATCGTTGAAGAAATAGCTAAGAGGACGAAGAACCTCCAGCTCCGAGCACATCTTTTCAATTCTACTGTTCTTCCTGCATTAACATACGCCTCAGAGACTTGGGCCCTACGAAAACAGGATGAGAACGCTATTCGGGTCTCTCAAAGAGGAATCAAAAGAGCTATGCTTGGAGTATCATGCTTCACTCAAATGAAAGATAGAATCCCGTGCTCCGACCTCTGCCAACGGTCAAGAATCAGGGACGCTGTCTCATTTGCCAAGGCATAGAAAATCAGATGGGCTGGTCATGTAATGAGATTTAAAGACGACCGCTGGACTAGAGCTGTTACAGACTGGATTCTACGGGACGTCAAAAGATCACGTGGCCGCCCACCTACGAGATGGTCAGACTTCTTTGTCAAGACCCTGAACGATCGGTCTGAGGCTCTTCATGTTCCTAGAACGAGCAGATGCCACTGGGCTACACTAGCATGCAACAGGGATGGATGGAGATGTTACTGGCGCCCGCTCGAGCAAATCGATGAGTAACGGGATATCAAGTGATCAAGTGATCAAGACATGCCTGGGAGACAGCAACCGTATTTTTCATATCCTTGCATTCCTCAGAGCGCTTGGCACTGCAGCTTCACTTTGCATGCTGCGGAATGAAATAAGATGTCTAATATGAACAGAGTTAATTTGGATTAACATTGACACAATCTCAAAAGAAGTTCTGAAACTTTATCTGTGATTTTTGTGTATATAATATCAGCCCTGTGTAGTCTCCATTTCTAGACCCACTGTGAGGGGACTGACAATATTGAAAATAATCCTGATAGCCAATACCAAATTAAATACTTGTTTGATTAGTGAGATTGTATTAAGCCTTTATTGTTTTGGTATATGTGTTCTACCAGGAACTTTTTTTTATTCAAATAATGATAATTGATGTATTCTATTAAAATTCTTTCCGCAAGTGATATTACAGTTCTATATTTGATTCGGATGATTGTTTAGTGGTTCATAAAATATAATCACTTTATAGTCTGAGAAACTAAAATATGCTTGTAGAATTATTTTTAAAGATCATGTATGGGATTATTTTAATACCTATATTTCAATACCTTAACTATCTGTAATCAAAATTCCTAATATATTCCCCAGATCAATTTATTATGAGCCAGATGTTATGTTATATTTCTATGGCTACCTGTAGATTATTTGTTCTAACGATTCTTGGCCTTAACAAGCTTGTTTTTCCTGTCATTTTAATACAGCAATTCTGTATTTTGTTTGGTGTCTGTTAGAAAATGACCTGATACGTCTCATTGTTGTTTGGGCATGAGCTTCTTGTATTAATCAAAGACATCCCCATTCACTGGTTTCTTATTTCTGCATTAGGAGTCGCTGCGATTGGTGGTGCATTTTCAGAACAAATTCTCAAAGATATGGCTGCCTTCAATGAACGGCCTATTATTTTTGCTTTGAGTAATCCAACTAGCAAAGCAGAATGTACCGCCGAGCAGTGCTATACACTAACCAAGGTAAAGCCATATTGTGACTGGTGTTTTACTAATCAGATCTTGATTCATTATAGAAACTCGGGATATCTAACCTCTTAATCCTTAAGGTTGAAAGGATGTGAATGTGTCAGAATAAGACCTCTTCCTTTTGTAGAATGATGTCATACGTTGGTGATGATTAGCCTCAGGTGATTCTGCAGTTTCTAAAATTTAAACCTTAAAATAAAGAAGCCAGTGAGATAGTCTTGTTGTTAAGGCACTTGCTTTGCATGCAGCTGACCCCAGTTTAATCACATGCAGTCCCCTAAGCACCAGCAGGAGTGACTCCTGACCCCAGAGGGCATGACGCACCCCCACAAGATAAAGGCTTGATTCTAAATACTTACATGGCGTTATGTTAGATATTCACAACCTTTGGAGCATGCAGTATGAAAACCATAATATTATTTTCGCTTCACTAAATTCTGTGTTTGGATTTTCATGCCACGATGGGCCACTGGACATTCTTTCAATGTCCACTTCAGTAGAATAGCCATCCTTAAAGAGTCAGTACCTGACTGTTCTTTTTTAAAAGTGATACTATATATAAGTATATCTTTCAGCGACATATTGATGAGACCTTGTTTTCCTCTTTTAATAACTTCAAAGTAGGGGTTGGAGAGACAGTACAGTGGGCAGTCATTTGCCTCACACTTACCAACTTGGGCTCCATCCCCTGCGCCATGTATGGTCTCCTGATCATTGCCAGGAGTGATCCCTAAGTGAAGCCAGGAATAAACACATGGCATTAGAGGACCCAGCATCCTCAAGCCCTAGCATTGAATTGCCAACGTGGTTGGTTGAGTATCACTCAGAGTGACCCTTGACCCTCCCTGAGCACTGCCTGGGGGCCCTTACCTCCAGGCCCCTCCACCCCCAAATTATCAATCAGTCAATCAAAGAATTGTAGAAGTATTCTGTCAATGGTTTGGAGTCTCCACTGCTTTTAGGAAAGGGGAGGGGTTCAATGTTTGTTCCTTGCATGAGTTGGACTCCTGCTTGATCTTCTACAGTGTGTGTCCTGTCAAACGCAGCAGGAGTGTCCCTATAAGCCTCCTGAGCAACACAGGATGGCCAGTTGAATTCCTGAACCCTTGCATTGAGCTACCAGATAATAGTTGGATGGGACTGGTTCTGTGGCCCCGGGCTCATGACCCTGCTTGGAAGCTCATCCCCCAACAAAAAATAACCCTGAGCCCTAAAACACCAGAGGATCACTGAACTGTGTAAAATAATAATTATGCCAAAAATTGTGTATATTTTCTTCTCATATTAACATCTACATATAACACGGTAACACTGTCCTCCTGTTGTTCATCGATTTGCTCTATAGAGCGGGCTCAGTAACAAGTCTCCATTTTGAGACTTGTTGTTACTGTGTTTGGCATTGCCGTGTGGGCAAGATACTCTCAGTAGCTTGCTGGGCTCTCCGAGAGGGGTGGAGGAATTGAACCCAGCTCGGCAAGGCTGGCTGCGCGCAAGGCAAACGCCCTACCGCTGTGCTATCGCTCCAGCCCTAACATCTACATATATAAGATTATTTCATTAACCCATCTATGTAATTTCTACTTAAAATATGACTGTAGAAGAGGGAGAAAGCTTGGACACAAGGGAATAGAGGGAGATAAAAATGCACTTGCGTAATGTTGTACATCTCTTCTCAAATATAATTTTTAAATATTATTCATGTATCACAAGTAACATGTATATCAAAGAGTTTACATTAAAAATTGCTTGTTGGAAAAATGTATATATTAAACAGAGATAAGGCATCAGACTAGCCTAAAAAAATACGATTTTGTACAGAGCGTTTCAGGTTCTTACATACATTGATAAAAATTTCTGTTTTCTTTCTGTCTAATTTTATATACCAAAGATGATTGCATCATATTATTAAAAAAGTTTATAAAAAAGGTTTATTTTGGCATTAGTTTAAAAAGAACACTAAGGGGCCAGAGGTATAGTGCAGCAGGTAAGGAATCTGCCTTTCATGTAACGCCCCTAATTTGATCCTCTCCCCCAATCCCATCTCCAACCCCCACCTGCCCGGAAATGCCCGGGCTGAACCCCGAGTGTACTAGAGATCCAGGTTTATCCCAGCACCACATGATCTGCCGAGCAACCCCTAGGAGCAGACCCTCCAAACCAAGCTGGAAGTAGCCCCTGAACACTGCTGGTGTAAACTGCCCAAATAATAAATAAGTAAACAAATGAATGTTAAATTCACGATCACGATCACGATCATCCTGTTGTTTGTCGATTGCCTCTAGCAGGCCCCAGTAACATCGCCTTCGTCCTAGCCCTGAGATTTTAAAAAAGTGCCATATTCAGGGCTCTTTCAGAGTTAGGAGAATGAGACCCATCATTGTTCCTGGTATTTGGCATATTGGATATGCCACGGGGAGTTTGCCGGACTCTGCCGTGTGGGCAGATTACATTCGGTAGCCTGCCAGGTTGTCCAAACTAAGAATGAAATAATAAGAATGAAATAATAAGATATAATAAGAATAATAAGAATGTTAAATTAATATTATTAATATCACAAAGAATTTAGCCTTCGGATAGAAAAGGAATGAGAATTCTAACCAGTTCTCTCCTCATGAACTGTGACTTGGTGCTTTCAACCAGTCTTGCTCAATATTTTTCCAGCCACGGCACCCCTTCCTGTCACGGCCCTTCTTGTGGTCTCCCTGTCTTACAGGTTGGTCTCCTACTCTCCTACTGCGACCCCCTTGGAATATCCTGGAGATGGGCAGTGAGGCCAAATGACCTCCTGTTGCCAAAAAGCTGCTTTAGACTTTTTAAATATATTTCCTAGGTTACAATGCTTTTGAAGTTGAAGTTTACTGTTTCTATTTTAGGATGCTGAATGCTCTCAATTAATCTCTACCCTCACCCTCTTAGGTCAGATAAATGCTTCACTTTTGGTTAACAGTATAAACTGCTGCACCTAAGAAGCTTTGTAAATCATGTATGTTCTCATTTTTAAAAAAGCATAAAAAATATTAAGACTAAGAAGAAGATAATTGCATGTTTTTTTGTGTTTGGTTTTGTTTTGGTGCCAAGGATTCAGCACAGGTCTTATTTGCTTTGTCACTTAGCTGTATTCCCGGTTGAATACAGTTTTTGGTAATTATTAACAAGAATCTTTTGTTTGCCAACAACACTTACATTAATTATTTTGTTTTCCATATATTATTTATAACATGGAAATATGTCAATTTTGTCTCGGTGATTATGTGAAAATTTATTGGCCTCTTACACTGTAACAAGCTACCATTTTTTTCTGATATTTTATTTATCTCATGTCTGGAAATTTGTCATTTGAAACCTATAGAGAAGTGTTGATAGGACGATGTGGTGAGCCGTTGCAGAGATGAGGTGGGTGATTTGGGGTCTTTCTTGTGCCCAACACACTTCTCCTTGGAGTAGAAGAATAAAAGCACAATCATTATCCCTCCCTCCAGAACTTGTCAGCATCATGAAAAGTTGTCCAGGCTTGGAAAGGACTTAGTTAAAAAAAATGAGACTTCTTTCCAAATAGCCAGTCCTTTGTGGTGTAGTTCTGCTATGTTTGTTCTTAAATACGCCTTTCTGACATTATTTGTGTGTCTCTCTTGCTGTAGGGGCGTGCGATTTTTGCCAGTGGCAGTCCTTTTGATCCGGTCACTCTTCCAAACGGACAGACCCTGTATCCTGGCCAAGGCAACAATTCCTATGTGTTTCCTGGAGTTGCTCTTGGTGTTGTGGCATGTGGCTTAAGACATATCCCTGACAAGATTTTCCTCACTACCGCAGAGGTACTGTAAAATCCTTGAAAGCCATGAAATGCTAAATGGGCTCAGAGTTGGTTGGTTGACGGTTCGTTTATCTAGCATCTCCACTCATTGTCTTGGTGTCAAGTCAGAAGGAGGAAAATTCTTGTGTAGCGAAGAATAAGTAAATCATTATTAGGAAGTTCAAACTGAATCACTAATAAAGAATAAATGGGTTTTTTTTTAGTTTTCAAAAGAAAAAAATTTTGATTTCTTAATCACAAAAAGCCTTTCAAAAAACCTTTAATTAAAAATATTGTTCCCTAATTATGCTGAAGTGGCAAGCAGTTCTCCACTGAGAACGTTCCTAATATCCGTGTTTTAAAGACTTGAAATGAAAATCTGATTTGTTATGCCAGGTCTCAGTGCAGCAAACAGAAACCACTCTAGTGCTTTAAGCAGGAAGGAAATTAAAACAAGGAACTGGATGTTTAGCAAAGTCATTTAAGAGGTAAGTGGTGACATTGAGATCATCAAGAAGCTGGTGAGCGTGGTGTAGTAGCACTGCAAGAACAAAGTAGTAGTATCAGGACTATTGTCAAAATAAATCACACCCAGGAGTGGCCGAGATTAGTACCAGGAATTTTGCTCCATAGCTTTGAGGACAGCCGCACATGCTAGGGGAAAAGGCAGCTCAGACAGAGAAGGGAGCACCAAATAAAGGATGTTGGGAGGATCCTCCCAGGGTGGGAGAAGCATGCTGAAAGTAGAATATAGACCAAACATGATTGCCACTCAATGCCTCTTTTGCAAACCACAGCACCCAAAAGGAGAGAGAACAAAAGGAAATGCCCCGCCACAGAGACAGGTTGGGATGGGGGGGATGCGGGTGGGAGGGATACTGGGACCCGTGGTGGTGGGAAATGGGCACTGGTGGAGGGATGGGTGTTTGATCATTGTATAACTGAAACCCAAGCACAAAAATTTGTAAGTCTACAATTGTACCTCATGGTGTCTCACTAATAAAAAAATAAGTAAATAAATTTTTAAAAAATCAGTGAAAAGAAGTCAGTAGTGTGCTCTAGGTTGGACCCTCAGGAGGATCCTCACAACAACTCGGGGTACCTTCCGAGAAGGGAAGTGCTGTTAAGCTAGTGTTGAGGACTGTGGGGGATCAGGAATTTCACCTGATCAAGTTAACAAGTGGGTCAGAATTTCACAGAGGCTGGTAGAAGAGTCGCAGTTCTAGGTCAGAGACCAAGGGCTTTGTCACTCCTGATCCATGAGGCACCCTGAAGCCCAGGTTCCTGAGCCCGGGGAGTGAGGGTCGGGGTCGATGCAGTCATTGGTAGATCGTCATAAAATCGTGGACTTTTGACAGTCAGAATCTGGGTGGGTTGTATGGATGCCAATTTCTGATGCCATCGGAAGGAATATAATCCCATCCCCTTCAGTGCTGACATCCTTCTGTGAGAATAGTTGTTTGAAGTTCTGTTATTTCCTTTTATTCACTGTTTTAAAAGCCTGATGACAGACTTCACGTGAGAGGGGAGGAGGGAAGATAGGACATAAAAGAGGGTAGAGGTGAAGGAGGCAAAAAAATAAGTATGACTGATGTTTCTGTATTCCTTAACTCAAAAAGTCACATTGGACACGATAAGTAAAATGTCTAATTATGTTTCGAGTTGTGCATCAAGGAAGATGGGATTGTCTTTTCCAGTAGACATGTCAGAAGAAATAGGGTTGTGCTCCAGCACCCTCTAGTGACAAATTCATGGGCGAAAAAAAAAAACTAAAAACCTTTCTGAAAATCAAAAACCTTTTTATCCAGAAAAAGTGAAATTCACTACAAAGAAACCTTGAAGAAAATAATATGGTGATATCATAGTGTTACTCACATCGCTGGTGATCTCTCTATCGAAATGCTTTGGCCCTTCCAAAGGGATTTCCTTAGGTCTCTATCCATTCCTGCTTTTAATACGAAATGATCTTTCCCCGCTTGCCCCCACTTGATTTAAAAACCATGGTTCACAGAGTTGCTTATGATGCGTTTGTTACAGGCATTCGACCTTCCAATCCCAGCCCCACCACCAGGACCATCCTGCCACCACTGTCCCGTTTTCCTAGCCGTTCTTCAAGCCCGCCCCCATAGCAGTCACAAAATAATTTACTTTATATTACTTGTTGCCGCCAGATAGCTAATGGAATCATCAAAAAATAAGTAAAAGAAAATTTGTGAAAATTTTTATATGTCACCGTAGGGACGTTCAGTCCTCGTGTGAGGGTTTGCTGAGCTGGTGTTGCTAGTTGACCTTCCGTGTTGATGTTTTTTGTTAATAGAGCTTCTTTTGGCTTCTATGCTACATTACCATGCAATGTGGTGTGCGCCTATGGAAAAGTTAGTGCTGTAGGGTTTGGCATTCAGGGCTGTGAGCTCCAGAAAATCTAGAATATTTGCCAGGGCGGTGGTGCATGTGGGTGTGGTTGCCAGGACTTCCAGATGGTGGGGATGGGGGGAAGTTGCCCACCACTAGACTGAGACGATCTGGCGTTTTCAGTAAAAAAAAAACTCTAGTGTATCTGAAATTTCCAGCAGTTTGGCATCTCTGTAGAGCTCAGCCTTGAGGCAGTGGTCTGGCTGTAGGCATGGTGGCAGCTATTGGGTGTGAGTGTGGCTGCCAGGCTTCAGGCGGGAAGGTGCCCCGGGCCCAAGATCCCCCTGGAGGTCTCAGCTGGGACTTCTGAGAAATTATATACAAGAATTTTTTGTGGCTCTCATTTGAGAGTTAATTATGAGTCTCTGAGGCAGGGCCGACAAATTAACCTAAATGGCAGTGGTGGTGGAATGTCTATTGGTTTTCTTTGTTTTTCTTTGTCTCCGTTTCATATCCCTCTTAACTAAGAAACTTTTTCTAACTCCTTCTGCCCCCCCCCCCCCCTTTTTTTGGTCAGGATCCAATCTAAAGTCCCACATGTCTGAGACATGTGCTACATCCCCGGGCTTTCATCTTATATGTCTTCATTGTTTTCACTTCAACGATGCTTCCATTATTTTCACACTAGTAGTGATCGACTCTGGTTCTCTGTTCTTATCTTTTCTCTTACCTTCAGTTACCTGATAGATACTTCACCAGAGATAATTTTCCCTTAATCAAGATTGCAAAGCCCTCTCTCTCAGCTTCCTTCTCCCTACTGGAAATACTTACACTTCAACTAGTAATCCCCTAATTGAAGTTAAGTATAAGCGTAAGCCCTTCCTAGGTAGGCACTGAAATTTAGACTCTTCACATTCATTTCGTGCTTTCTTATCCCAGAACCTTCAAACACACCATACACATGTGTAACTTCTGATTGCCTGCAGAGGTTTGTGAATCATTCTACATGTTTATGCCTACTCTTCTAGACACTGAAGACACACCTCATCTTGAATCCTTTTATTACTCATGTTTCTCAGCGTGGTCTTTCTCTTTAGCTGTGGCTACGTGTCAGATGTTATCTTACTTCTGGTCGTTCTGTTCTCTTGAGTTATATGTGTTAAAGAATCGTGTTGCCTTATAATTATCTGTAAATTATCTGTTGTAAAGTCATAGTAACACGCAGACAATGCTAAGGCACAAAGCAGAAACTTGCATTAAGTTACATTTTGGAACTAGAAACTTCACAGGTTAGCAGCAATCCTAAAGACTATTTCTTAATATTTTTTACATTACAAAGAAATTTTCTTTCTTTTTTAAATTTATTTATTGAATCACTGTGGAAACAGTCACAAAGCCTTACAGTTCAAGTCTCAGTCAGTCATACAGTGATCAAACACCCCTCCCTTCACTAGTGCACATTTTCCACCACCAAGAACCCCAGTATACCCCCACCCACCTACCCCTCGCCTGTGTGGCATATTTCCACTTCTCTCTCTCTTTCTTTCTTTCTCTCTCTCTCTCTCTCTCTCTCTCTCTCTCTCTCTCTCTCTCTTCGTTGATCACATTCAATATTATGACAAAAGACCCAACATTGTTATTTGGAACTTTCCCCAGCATTCAGACCTGCCACAAAGGTTATCATTAGATAATTTGTTTTCTGTTGCTGAGTATGAAGAGCATATGATGTCGTGTGGCCACAATAGCGGCCACGCGAATTTGGATTTCTGATATTTTAGTGATAAACCTAGAGGGATTACTGCCAGAAGCCCCTGGGTTCCGAGATTGGTATGTGTGCCTTTGGGTTCATGGTCGGTCAGAAGCTGGAGGAGGCATTTGAGGGTGGCAACCCGGAGCATTGTCATGGCAGGGAGCAGGGCCGATTCCATTCCCCATCCCATGAAGCCCCACATGCCTCGTCAATGCAGTCTCATACCTGGATGTTCATTAGGCTCTAAAAGATGCAGGCCACCATGCCACTGCCCCAAAGGGCGACAGGCGGAGGGACAGACACCCTTCCCCTCCCAGGGTGGCATAGCACCATAGTTAAATACACAGTCCAGATGCATTTCGGTTGGGCATTATATTTTGCTCAGATTTTCCCATCACCATTCAAGCCTGTTTTTCAGGGCCAAATGCTAGGTCATTTACTTTCCATTGATCACTTTGCATATCAGGAAATGTCCTGGCTCGGAAAATAGTCCTGGTACCCGCATGCCAGAGCCATGCTTGTAGAAGCTCATGGTCACCAGGATTCCATCTGGAGAAGGTGGGGAGACAGCACCTGCCCCATCTGGGTCCTCCTGGTGATATTGGCTCTGGATGGTGCAGGGAGAATTCTACGGGAATTGTGGAGCCCTCCAGCCGGTTTTCTTCTTCTCTGCGGTGTGCTATAAGATGGCGCTGGGGGCGGGTTGCGGGCATGACTTCTGGAATCAGAGGTTTCCTGGGAGCCGGGGCAGCCCCGTTATTGTTCGGAAAATAGTCCTGTTGCCCACATGCCAGAGCCATGATTGTAGAAGCTCATGGTCACCGGGATTCCGTTTGGAGAAGGCGGGGAGACAGCACCACAGGAAATTTTCAGCCTTCCTTTAACTCTGTTCTGTCGTTTGGGCTTTGATAAGCATATCCAAAGCTGTCCCTTGTTGAGCCGACCTGACTTTGTGCCTTATTTGTTGTAGGAGGTAATAATTTTTAGCCAACTTAAGCTAGAATTTATTTCTTCTTCCTGTGCAGCATAAGAGGCCCTTACTAACAGACAGGAAGAGGCATATTTTCTTGCACAGGTGTCTCTTTGAGGAGAATGAGTGTAGGTAGGCTCTAGAAACCCTTCCTTGCTTCTTTCAAGGAAGGCATTCTTCTTTGGAGGTGTTGGAAATTGGAAGGGAGGAAGGAAGGAAGGAAGGAAGGAAGGAAGGAAGGATGGGTAGAGAGTAGGACAAACATCTCTTTGACGAACCCAATTGTTTCTTTTTTAAAAATTCAGGTATGATTGACATACAAAAATATGTATTTAATTATACAATTTGATGGGGTTGGAGATAACTTTATGTCTTTATAGCCATCACCTATGTCATATGCATTTGATAGTTTGTTCCCCTTTGTAATTTGTTAAAAACTCAAAACATTTGTCCCCACCCTCTTTATTATTGTGTGTGTGATTATTGTGTATGAGCAGTGGGAGATAAGATCTACCATACAATCTTCCCTCTTAGCATACCTGGAAGTTTATTGAAGCTTATACTATTTGATTTAGAAATAGGGACTGGTTTGGGAATAGCAGATTCTGAAGCTAGTTCTGTGATTCGGATAATCTAGACTTTCTGTCAAATTCAAATTCTATTTGCAATAAAATAGGTTTCTCACCCTCTTGTTTTACCTTTAGTTCAAGGTTATGAGAGCTTGGGATAATGACATGGCCAATCTTGGGTAACTTTTCTCTTCTCTCAGTGGTACTTTTCATCATTTCTGTCATTCTCCTTTGCCTACCTTCTCTTCTTTCTGTTCCTCTACTGTGTCAGATATGAATGCTGTGCACATTTCATGATGCAGACTGAAAAGAAACTACTCTAAAAGGAAACCCAGATTCCTTTCCTGTCTTTTTCACTCATTATGCAATCCTACCTAATAACCAAACTTCCCTGGGCTCAGTTTTTCCTTTGATAAAGTTGGAGGTGAAATTAAATGATCACTGATCTGCATTCTGTTTAGGATGTCTTATATGACCACTCACGTAATTATCTTCATGATTACCACATTATGTGATGGTGAGTATAAACATTTGCATCTTTTTTTTTTAAAGGTCATAGCTCAACAAGTATCCGATAAACACTTGCAAGAGGGCCGGCTTTACCCTCCTCTGAACACCATTAGAGATGTTTCTCTGAAAATCGCATTAAAGGTAAAACCACTTTTGTTCAAGCCTCATTGTTTTTCTTTGCTTCTATTGCTGTATGTGTGTCTTTTCAGGTACTACAGCACCACTGTCTTGAAATGTGTGTCTGTATTCAGAAGAAGCCAGGGGCCGGAGCGATAGTACAGTGGGGAGGGCCTTTGCCTTGAACACAGCCAACCTGATCCCAGGCATCCCATATGGTCCTCCCGCCAGGAGTAATTCCTGAGTGCAGAGCCAGGAGTAACCCCTGAGCATTGCCGGGTGTGACCCAAAGAGCCAAAAAAAAAAAAAAGAATATGCTAAAGAATTAACCACAACACCTCAGCAGAATTTAGGAACATTATTTTATTTTAGTTTAATTTAGTTTGGGTGCCATACTCAGCACTGTTCAATTCTTATTCCTGGCTCTGTGCTCAGAAGGTCCTATACGGTGCCAGAGATTGAACTGGGTTTGGCTCTGTGCAAGACAAGTGCACTATTCTTTCTCTCCGGTCCCAAGGAACTACTTTTAATTCTTATAGAGGGATGAAAAAAGTTGAGAAGAATCATTTAGTTTGCTATAATTTATTTTTTTTATGTAGGAGTACTGCTATTTATTCAACCACTGATTAGGCTGATTGAATTTAATTTGCTATAATTTTTGTTATAATTTAAATCATTAGGGTTTTCTATCACCTATATATTCCAATTTGACTTATTTTTGCTTGTTTTCTATATGACATTTGTAATAGTCATTAAAATATTAAAATTTTGATACAGAGAGGATAACACAATGATATATAGTATTCAGCCTTACTAGATTATAATAACCTACTCTTCTAAAGAAAAACTGTGAGAATATGTTTTCTTTAAAAAAAAAGAATTAAGGCATAAATACAATCATATAGGTACAGGTAAGGTTAGGAAAAGAGTAGGAATATCATGGCAACCTATTGTAAAAGGACACATTAGACTGAGGATTCCTCTATCTGAGAAATAGAGTGATGATTTTGACACAAAGAAGACTTAGAGACAAGAGTGTGTTTGTCTCTAGAAAGGAGCATTTAAATTGGAGTCCATCTAATCAGGAAACTCAGGGAGATATTAGGTATTTGTAGGATGCTGTTGTTATAATAGGAATTGTCAAAAGTGCCAAGTCTTAGTTTATACATTAAAATTTTGAAGCATAGGGGCTGGAGTGATAGCACAGAGGGTAGGGTGTTTGCCTTGCACACAGCCAGCCCGGGTTCGATTCCCAGCATCCCATATGGTCCCCTGAGCACCATCAGGAGTAATTCCTGAGTGCAGAGTCAGAAGTAACCCCTGAGCATTGCTGGGTGTGACCCAAAAAGCAAAAAAAAAATTTTTTTTTGAAGCGGATTAAAAATGCTCACCAGTTCATTTACTCATGAAAATAACTGAAATTCTTTTATTTCTAGATTGTGCAGGATGCCTACAAAGAAAAGACAGCCACGGTCTATCCTGAGCCACACAACAAAGAAGAGTATGTCCGCTCTCAGATGTATAACACTGATTATGACCAGATTCTACCTGACTGCTATTCGTGGCCTGCTGCATCTCAGAAAATACAGACCAAACTTCACTAGTAGTGTAGTAGCTAACAGTTCTCACTCCATTAATGAGTTCCTGGAGTCTTTGATAATTTAAAAAAAATTGGAATCTTTTATAATGATTCATAATATGCTAGGAAAATTTTACTTTAACATCCTATTTATGAAAAAATATTAATATACTTTCAGGTGAACATCACACTAAACAATTATGCTTTATTTACTTTCTAGTTATTTATGGTTTCTATCTTAATTATTTTACCTTGGTGGTCTATAAATGCTATTGTACTTAAAACGGAAAAACTCATTGTTTTTACGTAGGGAACTAATGGGAAGTCTAAAATTTTAATAAATTGATATGATCAACATTAAAGCCCATAACTCTTTCGTTGACAATTTTTTAAACTTAATCACTTCACTTAATCACTTAACTTCCCGTTAGTCATCGATTTGCTCGAGCGGGCGCCAGTAACGTCTCCATTTGTCCCTGTCGCGTGCTAATGTAGCCCAATGGCATCTGTTCGCTCCGGGAACATGAAGAGCCTCAAACCGATCGGTCATGATCTTGACGAAGAAGTCTGACCATCTGGAAGGTGGGCGGCCACGCAGTCTTTTGACATCCCGTGGAATCCAGTCAGTAACAGCTCTAGTCCAACGGTCGTCTTTAAATCTCATTACGTGACCAGACTACTTGAAAAAATAAGGCAAACGCCATAGCACAGCAGTAGGGCGTTTGCCTTGCACGCAGCCACCCAGCCAAGCTGGGTTCGATTCCTCCGCCCCTCTCAGAGAGCCCGGCAAGCTACCGAGAGTATCTCGCCCACACGGCAGAGCCTGGCAAGCTCCCCATGACGTATTCGATATGCCAGACACAGTAACAACAAAGTCTCCAATGGAGACATTACTGGGCCCGCTCGAGCAAATCGATGAACAACGGGAGGAGGGTGACAGTGATTAATATCTATATATTTATTTAAAAAACTAAAGGTGCTGGAGCGATAGCACAGCGGTAGGGCGTTTGCCTTGCACGCAGCCAACATGGCTGACCCGAGTTCGATTCCTCCGCCCCTCTCGGAGAGCCCGGCAAGCTACCGAGAGTATTCGATATGCCAGACACAGTAACAACAAAGTCTCCAATGGAGACGTTACTGGGCCCACTCGAGCAAATTTAGAGCAAGATGTGTTGTAATAAAACGAATTCAGAGAAAATTTTAGAACTACTTCTGATTTTTTTTATCAGAAATCTTGATATTGGAAATAAGGAATTCTAATCACCATCAGTGGTTATAGTCCAGAAATTAATGAGATTCAAGTTTAAGATAAGGTAAAGGTAAAGGCCCTCCCGTTGATCGTCGATTTGCTCGAGCGGGCCCAGTAACGTCTCCATTGGAGACTTTGTTGTTACTGTGTCTGGCATATCGAATACGTCACGGGGAGCTTGCCAGGCTCTGCCGTGCGGGCGAGATACTCTCGGGAGCTTGCCGGGCTCTCCGAGAGGGGCGGAGGAATCGAACTCGGGTCGGCCATGTTGGCTGCGTGCAAGGCAGACGCCCTACTGCTGTGCTATCGCTCCAGCCCAAGTTTAGAAATTAATAATGAACTAGTCAGTAGAGGTAATTTTAAGTCTTTCAGCTTAGGTTCAATAACATTTGCAATTTGGAGAATTATGTGGAGAAGTTTTTTGCTTTTAAAGTTATGCTTTTAGAGTTTAAGATGTTCAAGATGAAATGTATGATAAAATGACCTTTTTGAGAGGTGGAGGATTTGGACTACACTATTCCTGGCACTTGTAGACAAAACATGGTACTGAGGATGGTACTAGGGATTGAACTGGGGTCAGCTGCAGGAGAGCCAAGTACCACGATCCCTGTATAATCTCTCCAGCACCAGCATAAAGTGGTTTTCTAGAAAGTTGAAGATCATCTCAATTGTCTTCGGTGGGAATAGCAATGGTGGGTATTTCTGAAGGGAACATGGAGTAAAACAATCTTCTGGATATTCATTTCATTTCATTTCATCATCCTGTTATTCGTCGATTGCCTCGAGCAGGCCCCAGTAACGTCTTTCATCCTAGCCCTGAGATTATATTCAAGGCTCTTTAGGAGAATGAGACCCATCATTGTTACTGGTATTTGGCATATTTGGTATGCCACGGGGAGTTTGCCAGACTCTGCCCTGTGGGCAGGCTACATTCCATAGCCTGCCAGTTTGTCCAAAGTAGGAATGAGATAATAAGATGTCATAAAAAGATGTCCTGATAAGATGTTAAGGTTCCGGGATCTGGATGTTATAGTCTCTGAGTCTTGGCCGCTGATGGGATTACACGGCGCCAGGGGGCCATGTGGTGGGTGTGACCCCCGCCTACTGGAATTTGGAGGATCTGGGTGGAAGATGCTCGACTCCAATCCGAGTAGGCTTGGAGATCTCGGCCCCGGGACCCGCGTGGCTTTGTCCCTCTGCCAGTACCTTCATGTGTGCGGAGATATAGCTATTTTAAAAAAGACCCCGGATGCCTACTTTTGTCTGTTTTTGTGTTGTTTCAAGGCTTTTACTCAATTGTATTTGCTTCTGCAAAAGAGTTATTAAAGCACAGGAAAACACAAGTAATCTTATAAAATATATATTTTTAAAAAATACTGGTTTTTTGCATTTTAAGATAACAATGCTGGATCTTGTTATATAGCAGTATATAATGGCCTGTTAAAATATTCTTATAATTGCTCATTTCAGTGTGAATTTCATTTCTCTATTTCATGTTTCATCTCTTACTTGAGTGAACTACTTCCTTGTCTGTAGAGAAAAATTGTGAAACCGGCATCATATGATGACTAGCATCATATGGTTACATTAAATTATGATATTTAATGTAATCTCCCAATCCCCTAAGGAGAAGCTATTACAAATAACTTGTCAAATTTGGACAAGTAAGTGTTGTATAAGAGTTAATAAGTGAAGGAAATGGGCTGTTTATGTTTGTTCATAATCTAATACAGTCCACCAGTGGTGCTCAGGGCTTACTCCTGATTCTGTGCTCAAGAATAACTCCCGGCAGACTCAGAGGACTATATGGGATGCTAGGTATCAAGCTTGAGGTAGCCACATGCAAGGCAAGTGCTCTCTATTCTCTGTACTATTACGCCAGCCCCCAGAAAAATGTTTCATAACCCTTTTCTGGCTGTGATTCCTTCTGACCTGTTTCCTTCCTATGGGCCCCTCTCTACTGTTTGGTCCCCTCATCTCATTCTGTGTGTCCCCTTGTCCCCCTTCCCCCACCATTTATGTGATTTTTGCCTGTGCCCCCCTTGGAAAGTCTTGGGGGAACATTCGTAAGTCCCCCTGCTGGTCTAGAACACAAGTGTCCAGTAACAAAAGTTCTGAGCCTCATATGTAACTTCGAATAGCCTCATAAAAAGAATAAGAGGAAGTCACGTTAACAGTATATTTTAGTTAAAACAGTATCTGAAATGTGAATCTCAATATGTAACCCATATGCAATTATTAACAAGGTACTGCTTTTACTTTTTATATTTAGCTTTTCCAAATGCACATATTCTCATCACATTGTCATGAGAACACATAGAACAGTGGAACAGCATAGAAATTCACAGGTCCTCAACCATCCAAATATATGGGTTTCAAAGGTAGCACAAAAATCACTAAAGAATAGTGTTTAGTAAAAGTATTGAGAAAACTGGATTAAATACCACATGGAGAAAAATATAAAGAATTTACCTTCCACTGTGTAAAAACGTCAACCAGATTTGAATAGTAAAAATATGAGCACTGTATAAGCACTGTATAAGCATTGTCTCCCGTTGTTCATCGATTTGCTCGAGTGGGCACCAGTAATATCTTACAACAAATTGTGAGACTTGCTGTTACTGTTTTTGGCATATCGAATACATGACGGGGAGCTGGCCAGGCTTTGCCGTGTGGATGAGATACTCTAGGTAGCTTGACAGGCTCTCTGAGAGGGGTGGAGGAATTGAACCCAGGTCAGCCACGTCCAAGGCCTTACCCGCTATGCTATTGCTCCAGCCCAGTAAAAATATAAAGTTCATAAAAATTAATGTAGCAAGATATCTTTGGGACCTCTGAAACACAATTATGAAATAAGAAAACAGATGGAATGCAGTACCTATTGACGGTAAGCTTTTAGCTTATAAAGCCTTCAGAATAAAACCTAAGTTGGCTGCCATAAAACTGTGATAGGTAAAGGATTTCAGGACTGTTGGATAGAGTTGTCACTTTTAGAGAGATAGACTAACAGAGAATTTAGGTTAAGTGATTGTCTTTTTTTTTTCTGTTTTTGTATGAATAACTGATATTTTATTTTTTATAAGTAGCAGTATTTTTTGTTTTTTTTTAGTTGAATAAGATATTTTATATAAATAATTTTTTAATTTTTTCATTAGCGAAACACCTTCAGGTACAGTTGTAGACTTACAAATTTTTGAGCTTGGGTTTCAATTATACAATGATCAGATACCCATCCCTCCACCAGTGCCCATTTTCCACCACCATTGATAATATCCCTCCCACCCCCATCCCCCCCATCCCATCCTGCCTCTGTGGCAGGGCATTCCCTTTTGTTCGCTCTCTCCTTTTGGGTGTTGTGGTCTGCAAAAGAGGCATTGAGTGGCAAACATGTTCAGTCCATAGTCTACTTTCGACATGCATCTCCCCTCCTGGGAGGATCCTCCAAACACCCTTTATTTGGTGCTCCCTTCTCTATCTGAGCTGCCTTTTCCCCTAGCATGTGTGGCTGGCCTCCAAGCTATGGAGCAAAATTCCTGGTACTAATCTCAGCCAGTCTTGGGTGTTAGTCTCCTATTTTGTTACTTTATGTTCCCCAGATGAATGCAATCTTTCTATGTCTGTCCCTCTCTTTCTGACTCGTTTCGCTTAGCATAATACTTTCCATGTTGTACCACTTGTATGTAAATTTCATGACTTCATCTTTTCTTGTTATTCGTCGATTGCCTCAAGCAGGCCCCAGTAATGTCTCCTTCGTCGTAGCCCTGAGATTTTTTTTTAAAAAGTGCCATATTCAAGGCTCTTTCAGAGTTAGGAGAATGAGACCCTTCATTGTTACTGGTATTTGGCATATTGAGTACTCCACGGGGAGTTTGCCAGACTCTTCCGTGTGGGCCAGTTACATTCGGTAGCCTGCCAGTTTGTCCAAAGTAGGAATGAGATGAACAAAGGCAGGGCAGTGACAGTGACAGTGACAATGTTAATTCTCCCTATCCATGAACAGGGGATATTTTTCCATTTCCTCGTGTCCTCTTTTATTTCCTGAATTAGAGTTTTGTAGTTTTCTTTGTACATGTCCTTTACTTCCTTAGTTAAGCTGATTCCTTGGTACTTTATTTTCTGGA